TTACTTTTGAACAGATTTCTTTCAGCAAGCAGACATTGTTCTCTATTTCTATTTTCCAACTTTGTCACTTTTCATTGATCGAACATATACTATTTCATGAATAGTTAAGCTAAAAATTTATGGAACTATTATTATCTACGCCCCGATAGGAATGAAGTTAGTGCCGAAATTAAAAAAAAAAACTTTTAAATGGAATCGAGACACTGTTTTATCTATGTCGCGTGTATAAAATTAAAAAAATATGCTAAAATATGAAGACTAAAAATTGAAAAACAGTGAGAAAAAGTCTGTACTTGCATGATATAGCTTAGGAAATATACGTTTTTTCCCTATTACAATTGTTTTTCTGCAATTCTTATAGTTATGCTAAAATAAAAAAAATTGAATGTAATTACTTCAATTTATTGCATAAACTTTCCAGAATGAATAAATTGGACGGAAATTCTGTTTCGGAACCAAACAAATGAGGTTCCACAGATTTCTGTGTTGAATAAAGCGACAGATAGATCATGACAAACATTTTTTTTTTGTGTATAACTGGTTTTTTTAAGAAAAAGGAATAAAAACTTTTCCTTAATTCTTGTCGCCGTTAATCGTGATGCAAAACCAACGATTAACTTCTCTCGATCAGATCGTCGTACACAACAACATTAATCGAAACTTGAATAGCATTCCAACGCAAGAGCTTCAACAAAAACATAAAAAAATGGAGCGTGGAACCATCGCCCTTTTCATCATTGCTCTTCTTCTCGTTATTACTCTTGCCATCAGCATCGCTCTTGTCTTTATCATTGGTTTGAAAGCAACGCAACCGGATAAAAGTAGTAATACCACATTTTCTACCTCAACAACCTCGTCTGTGAGTCTTCTCTACGAGCCCTGCAAATGTGGTTGCCCATTGATTGAGCCTTTATTCAATAATGAAACGAAGATGGCTATCCCCCGTATTGTTAATGGAGAAACGGTGCGCGCACACTCCTGGCCTTGGCAAATATTTTTATTGGCCTACGATCCAGAAACGGAATTAGCGGCGACATGCGGTGCCACTTTGCTCACACAAAGACACGTTCTTACAGCGGCACATTGTGTTCACGGTTACGTGCCCCCAAACATACTTCTATTTCCAGGTCAACACGCTAGTAATTTCAATATCTCTTTAGCAGACATCCATGTAGTCAATAAAGTCTATATTCATGAAGGCTACAACGCTCGTGCCCACAACGATCTAGCCATTCTCACAATTGAAGAGCCTTTTCGTTTTGACTCATATGTTAGTCCTATTTGTTTAGCCACTCCGAATTCTTCTCTTCTACAAGCGAATGAAGAACTTGTGACCATTGGATGGGGTCGTACTTCTGGTCAACCTGGAACTCCTAAACTTCCTGCATATCTGCAACAAGTCAAAGTTGCTTACATGTCAACATCGAACCCTAACTGCTCAAAAATATTTGGATCAAAATTTACCTTGCATTCCGGACAGATGTGCGCTGGAAATCCGGGTCGCAACGTTTGTCGCGGAGACAGTGGTGGACCGTTGATGAGACGAATACGTTTGACTAACACGGAGACTTATTATTGGCAACAGGTGGGTGTGGCGTCGTTAACGAAAGATTGTGGCTGGAATAGTACGTTACCCGATATCTACACTAATGTTCCATATTATTACGATTGGATCATGGCGACGATGAAACGTGCTGTTTGAGAACATTTTTATTTCAGTTTATCAGTGAACCTCAATGTATATGATAAACTCGCATCTTCACATACAAAAATTCAGACTTGACATAACATTGCTCAGTAGAATAAATATAATCTACGAACGATGTATTCAAGAATTGATGCCTTTTTATTTAAAAACTTCTAAAATATGGGATGATCGGTTTGCTAGGAAGACTTCATTCACTTGTTTTGTACAGCCTCGAACACGCATTAGAATAATATGATTTTTTTGCTAGTTATAGTGGATGTACAGCACTGGACACGACGCGATGGTATAAAGTATAAGGATATTCAACTGAAAGCTACTGATTCCGATATTCTGACTAAAAGCATGGTGTCTGAGTGCATCAGTTCAAGTATCCTTGTCCCTTCAATCAATCTCTCACTGACTGTAATGTGTGTAAAAAATTATTCTCACAAGAAACCAACAGAATATCGAGGTTCTAAGCCTGCCATGATCTAAGAGTCGAACTGGAACAACAATCACACAATTATTTCGATAGAGGAAAAAAGAACAAATGATTCGTCTGCCTTCTATAATGGAAATTTCTAATGATTGTGATCTTCTAGGAAACTTCCTCGTCACATAGTAATTCATCTTGAATCAAAGGCGAACTGCCCGTGTGAAGATACAAGAGATAGGTTATATTTGAGAGTGAAGAGAAGTCCCACTTCAACTAATACTCTCACCTACACACAACTTTTAGTTGATTCGGAGAAGGACCAAGAATTGAGATTGGATTTCCACACGCATGCAACACATTGTGGCAATTGCAAAATTTATGCAACATAGTAAATTTCACTGCGTGTCATGTGTGCGTAAAAATAGTGAGAATATAAACTCAAATCGTTCGCTCTCAGTCTTTATCCACTAAGTGTAAGCTTATATCAATGTGAAGACAAAGAAACGCAAAATATCCATCAATCAATATTTGTTTACAATATACTCACATAGAAATGTATCACACACGTTCTTGTTGGGAACGGTAAGCTTCAGAACAAAGTCAATCGATTACATTTGAAGGTTAATTAATAGATTGTCTCGTAGGATTTTTCAAAATTTTCCATTGTTAGTACTGTAACAACTCTATGTCACTTCCAATCACCACAATAAGTCTAACATCTGAGTTTCTATAAATCTCAACTTTGGTTGACTTTGTTTGGATTCGGAATGCAAACGTTCACTAGTACTTCTGAGCAGAAACTGCTTAAACCCTATTCAATAATCAAAAAACAAGATATATAACACTTTAGTAAATCGAAACTAGAATTCAGATATTGATTAAAGCGACTAGGACGTGCAACTTAATGCAAATCTTCATATGAGACTAAGCAAATATTTACTTCAATGATTCGTAATCTAATCAGATATCCGAATAGTTGAATTGAGGTATAAGGCTTGAAGTCGATCGCTCGTGATAAATTGTGATCTTCGTCCGTAAGCTAAAATTGAAACATCTTGCAAATTAATCAGAAAGATATTTTTCTGCAAAAGACAATTGTACGTGTGGATGTGAGTATGCGACTCTTTTATTCAATCATAGACACACTAACGCAAACATCTCATACTCGTCGTATAGTCAGTTAACAGTTGATATAGTTGATAGATTGACAATTCAAAACGAATGTTATAATACAAGTCAGGCTTTAAATTTTTAGTACATCCATCGAAATGCTTTACTATAACATAGGATAAAACAGCTATACGTTAAATGATCGAACGTGAGCAATAATGTCAGTCTTTCATCTTTGTATTTATTGTGTAGGACGAAATAGAATAGTCAATTTCTTTTAGCAATACATGATAAATCTCAGTGATATTATCATTCAAATTTTCTAAGAAATTTCAATTTCACGGTATACCATAGAGAGATAAAATTTAGATCATTTGAGAGATAGTTTAGATGAGTTCTTAGTTATTCTAATCGTGTTACTATTTTGATAACAATAACTTATTAGTTAATTTTGGTTTCTATGACTTAATATAAAATTTTTTGGAAAATATTTATCTACACCGCTCATCACTGTATCGACTTAGTATATCTTTAATCGTATACACTATTATCAAACCATTTTCCTCGTTATTTTTGATAAAAAAAGATAGTCGATTTTTCTAGCTCATATCATAACAAGTACCGGCATACTAAAGATTTTAAATGGTACAAATATTAACACACGTGAATTGCGATGCATCATCATTATGATCACTATATGTGATCAAAAATATATTGTTGAAACAATTCTAGAAGAATTTTTTTAAATTTCAAGGGCATATCATGAATCCATCATTCATAGTTTAGTTGTCTTGTCAAATAAATTTCAAAAATATATACATTCTCTTATCTCATCATAGGTTTCAACGATATAGACAAGCAAGATTCTTATGCATTTTTTTATTCTCAATAAATGTTATACTTCATTTCCTTCCATTAATCATAAAAATAGAGTTTTTACTATTCTTCTCAATTTGTACATTTTACCTATGTAGATTATCAAAAGAGTGATATACTTGAATGCTTCTTTTCTTTGCACTTTCTCTCGTAGAAATCGTATGCACACGTCTATATAATCAATAGAAAAAAAATATGCAGACAGTCGTAGAGAAAAAAAAATGAATAAGAATCAGTGACAAAAAGAGAATGTGATAAGCAAAAGAAAAAGAGACAACACATTATTATTAAACAAGCAAAGGTTATGAGTCATGATTTGCTAGCATACGTTATCATAACTAATCATTCATTATGAACAAAATTTTTTTTCTCAACATCAATGACGTAAGGAATATTCTCTTTTTCTTCTTTTAGGGAAATAAATTACTGCATCATTTTGTTTGTCATATTTCAATAAGTTTTTCTTTCTCAAGATATTGTATTGTACGTTTGTGATAGACGATGTTTTTGTACGATTTTGAAAGGAAAAAAACCAATGTGATTCTAATTGAGTAATATCTAATAAGATTCTGTCTAGTCTCTTTCTCATTTTTCTTGTAAAATATTTTGATGGGATTCTTCTAAGTATCATATAAATGAGTAAGAAAACATCACCGGAAAAAAACATTCGTACCAACTATAAAAGAACAACACAACTAGCAAACAAACAGATAATATTGAAATACAACAAAAATGGTGAAAATCATTCTTCCTTTTATTGTTTTTATTGGTTTACAAGTGGCTAGTGCAGATTTGGATGTTGCACTCCGATCTTTTCTGGGATTGACTACGAAAAAAAGTTTATTAGGAAACAAAGCTGATGATATTAAGAATTTATACAACTTGTACAAGATGGAGTTCAATCGAAATTCAAAGACAACAAGTGAAGATAAGCTTCGTTTTATATCATTCAATAACACGTTGCATGACATTCTCAATGATTATCGACAAGGTGAAAAAACATACACTCTTGGACTCAATGATCATGCTGATTGGACACAAGATGAATTGAGCATATTACGTCGTGGCATTCAATTGCCTAAAGGCCGCATCAGTAAAACGAATGTGAAACCTGGTGATCGTTTATTAACATGGAACGGAAAGCCATCACATGGCAGAATGACCTTACCGACATCGTACGACTTAACAACAATGGTTGTTCCAGGAACGGCCGTGCCACTTGTAAGTATTATTTTCTATTCATGATCCAAAATCATCCTGCGTTTTTCTATTCAAGCTTTTATCAGCCAAAAGTCAAGGCAAATGTGGATCGTGTTATGCATTCGCTTTTATCTCTTTGCTTGAATTTCAATATGCTCTACAATTGAAGAATAGCACCAGTTTGAGCGAACAACAAATTGTTGACTGTTCATCCAAGGATCGTGGCTGTAATGGAGGTTACTTTTCTAACACATTTAAATATTTACAAAATAATACTTGGCAAGTAAATGGTGCCCCATACTATCCCTACAAGGGTATAAATAGTGCATGTGCATTTAGAAGTGTGGAAGGCAGTGGAATACAATTCGAATCACTTCGTTACATTAAAATTCCAGCAAATAATACTGCTGCCATGCAACAAGCTCTGGTTGACTATGGACCTTTGTGGGTATCACTTTTCATTGGTGATCAGACGACATTAACGTATAAAATGATTTCCTCTACATTCAACAATTACAAAAGTGGTATTTTTCAAGTAAATGGATGTCCAGCATCGGTTAGCTCATCAAATCATGCTGTTGTCATCGTTGGCTACGGAGTTGATGAGACAACGGGTGTGCCCTATTGGAAAGTGAGAAATAGTTGGGGACCTATGTGGGGAGATGGTGGCTATTTTAAAATACAACGTGGTGTGAACATGTGCGGTATTGAATCCGGTATATTCTACATTGCAAGAGCAGTATAAACCATAAATAATAATTATTTCTTGTTTAATAGGCTAATATGTGTGTGTGCATTTTTGTTTTTATTATTATTCAACATATACTCTATATATATTCATGAATAAAAAATTGATTTTCTTCTTAATAAAAATATAGGTGTCTGTTAATCCAGGTCCTCAGCCATAGCTGTAAAATTCAACTTGATTGGTCAAATGAATTTTAAATTAAAGAATGTAAGAAATTGTTTGAAAGAAGATTGTTTTACTTTTGAAACTTAACATACAATAAAATCATGAAAAATCAATAATTGAATATTTTTTAAAATAACCGATATCCAGTCTGTCAACAAATATTAGATTGAATAAAACTTGCGAAAATCAATTGATCGATAAACAAAAGTATTTTTGTGATAAATTCTCCAGGCATCTCATCGATTACATTATGCCACGGTATGTGATGTTCTTTTATCATGATACTGGTTCATGTTGAAACTTAGGCTTTTTCTAGATAGATCTAAAGATTTTCGAATCTCAATTTATGTATTTGAGCCATATTTTAACCACTTGATCTATAATGAAACATGAATAGCCGATTGGATGATTATTTGATCAATAGTTGCAAATAGGTTCAGATTTCTAAGTTATCGTGAACAGACTGATACGATTTAGAAGTTCACTGGTGAATTGAAGTAGTATTTATTGAAGTTTCAAGCAAATATAGGACTTCTTAAAGTTTTCTTTTTAGCTTTGAAGAATTTGGTGAAAACTTCTCCCGACTTGTCTTCAGCTATGAATTACTTCTAAATTTTCGTGTGAGAAATAGATTACAAAAAGCAGAAAAGAATCTGTCAAAATTGTAAGTAGACCATTTATTAATGTTGATGATGACCAATACAGTGAAAGATTCTACTATAGATGTGAAGTATGGAAAGTCACTACCAATAGCAGTTGACCACGAAAATATCTCGCATTTGGACGATGCTACTAAACAGGTTGCAATCGAATCATCACACGGGCTTCGTAAACTGAAAATGCTTACGAGAGCTGAAAGAACCTGACAGCGACACGCACAAGAAAGAGTGGACATGAGAGTACAATGACTATCGAGGGATGCAATCATCCATTGTTTGTGGCACCTACCAGAATTAGAGGAGTAAAAGCAATAGCGACGATGAAAGATGCGTCATAAGAGAGGAAACAAAGAAAACAAGAGAATAATGATGAACGATGTGAACGGCAAGCAAAGAACGCTTTTCGTCAGCACCACCGTCGACAGCAAAGTTCATCTTTGTAAGCAGTTGAACTTCTATGTGAGTTTTCTCCCGAAATTTATCATCCCAAATGAGCTAGCGACGGAGTAAATGTCTAGTCTATTTTCTAGTCATGTCGGCATGACAGGATTAGTCAGAGTTTCAAAAAGTCCTCGTCTGGAACTAATCTGAATCGAACTATGTACTGGTATCCCATCATTGTCGGGCGTCATGATGCAAATATAGTCTGGCCTTTTTCTTCAGAAAGACTAGACAAGTCGGATTACCGTGACGCCTATAAGAAAATGATTTTAATTTAAAAAATAAACACCATCAGGGACGATGCACATGACATGCTATAGTGAGATGCATTGGACTAGTCTGGATGAGTCTAAATCTAAATATAATATGAAGTTAAAGGCTAGATTCGAACATACATACATACATTCTATTACTTACTCGTCGTTTTGACCATTGAACTATATATTATCGAAAACTTCTCTTTTACGTCTCACTAAACATTAGTAGACACTCTTTGATAGAAATTTTTCTGAGAATTTTCATACGAATATAAAAAATTATCGTAATAAAAAATTAGGTATATCAGCTCAAACAAGAGTGCTTTTGATTTTTTTTTAAATTAAAAGAAAAGACAATTATATTTATCTCTTTAGGTGTTAGATAACATTGGAGAATGTAAAAAAAAATATTAAGTAAAAAATAGGATAATAATTTTTTAAGTTGAAGAGAAAATAATTTTATAAGTAATAAGATTTAGTTTTAATTTTAAAATGGATCAATTTAATTTAAAATAGAATAAAATCATGATAATAGTAATAATATGTATTTTCTTTTCAATTCAAAAAATCATGAATTTATTTGCACTCGATATCTTAATAAATTAAATGATTTTGTCTAAAACCTAATGAAAATATAATTTGTTTTTCAATGTTCATGTGGATAAAAATAATCTTTTCTGATACAAAACTTTATATATAAGCTCAAATAAGACTATTTTTGATTTAAAATAATTATAGTTTCTTCGTTAGATTTAAGAAAAAAGTAATGAATGCAAAAAAAAATACAACGTACACAATAAATTGATAATCTTTTTGAATCGAAATGAAAATAATTTTTGTAAGGATGATGATTTTATTTTTAATTAAATCAATTCATTTTGAAATTAACATTAAAATGAATTTTTGCAACCTAGAGCACCTTTTTTTTGATTCATCTACACTCTAAAAAAACGCTTTCTCAGAAACTGAAACCCCTTCAGAAGCGCTTTCGAAAAATCTATGTACGTATTCGAAAAGGTTTTCGGACTCATGTTAAGTTTCTGAAAACAAGTTCTGAGTTCCCGAGCATTCTGAAACCTATGGATCTTCGAACAATAGATCCGAAAATCTTCAACCATATTCTCAGAAACCCTGGTGCTATTTCCGAAAACCGCTTTTGATTTAAAAATCTGCTCGAAAATCTTTGCGTTTCCGATATTTTTTTTTAATGAAAACCTTTTTGAGCTTTCAGGCATCGGAAATGCTGAAAGCATATCCAAGAAATCAAGCACAGTTTCCGAACATATCTCGGAAACCCATACAATATTCTGAAACACCGAAATGGCATTCGAATATCTTCTTTTTGATTCTCATGTTTCCATCGTTATTTTAGAGGTTTAGGGATTGCTTGACATGCGTATTATATACCTTATGTAATTTATGGGGAATTATTGTGTAAAACCATTAGCGCTCTGAGAATTCAAAAACAAAAATACTTTGTTTCTGAGAAAATATCGACTCATTTTTACATCTTTCAGTACCTAAAAACTTAAATCGATTATGATAAGTTTACTAGGAAGATCGAAGAGCTGCACTAAATCGTCAGATCATTAAAAGAATGTCGTCTTTTTCCTTCTTCATTCATTTGTGTTTCATTCAAGTACAAGCATTGTCATACTTGTCAACAGATTACAACGGAATATAGCGCAAGTTTCGACCGTTTGAGGATTCTTTTAACTGATTTATACAAAAGAATGATTGGAGAGGAATGATGAGACACATGAAGAAATCTTCCATTTGCAAGGGAATGTAAAACAAATACCGAGTATCACGGAATGTTTTCAATATAATTTATTCTTCATATAGCTCAACGAACGTAAATGATAAAATCTTAAATATTTTCAAAACACGCATCATGATATGCTTTACAATAGTCAAAAAAAGATTATCTTGGCTTGTACTAATAGTTTTGAAGAGAGCTAAAAGAAAAGATATATCAGATGTTGTAGTTTCTCATTTTGATGTCGATGTAAACGCTTTTAAAAAAATACATTTACTATCTAAATCAAATTAAATGTACAAAAACTCATTTCTGAATAGCATCATCTCGATAAAATTAGTATCTTGATGTTCGAAAATAGTCGGAAAGAATCAAACGTCTACGAAATATGATTGTTGTTTAGGTGAAGGAAAAAAAAATTCTCGATAGTGAGAAACTATAAACTCTCATATACCTTTCCTTTTACCTCTCTCCAAATCTATTAGCATAAGCTAAATTCAATGATTCACATTTTACAAGAAACTATTGTCATCTTTGATAGAACTGAAGACGTTTGCATCAGTGTTCACCTGCTGCAAATAAGAATAAAAAATAAATTGGATCTAATTAAATAAATTCTCATAAAACTGAATAAGTTGTTACTGGCATTCGATTTATCTTGGTTATTATATAAAAATATATTCTATGTCATAGGCTATATTAAGTTTTTGGTAAGAATAATCGAGACACATTTTATTTTAAATCAGGTGCAGAGCTACGAAATTTTTATTTTATTTTAATATAATTTCTTATTTTCATTTCCATTAGGGAAACACAACGCATAATCGTGATTTTTATGTAGATAATGTTCATTTTCAATAACTTGTAGTCTAATATAAACACGGATGACTTCTTTGTCGACATCAGAAAATAATGTTTGAACGTAATTCTATGAATAAGCGAATCGACATACTAATTTTTGAGCATCAAATTCCCAGAGAACACATTCATTATTCTACTATTGGGAATACATAAGTTAAAAAGTTTCTCATTGATTTTGATTGAAACATAAGTGAATAATAATTAACAACATATTATATTCATATATTAAATATTATGTATAAGCTAGGTTAAATGCGAAGACAAATAAATATCGATAAAGAAAAAAACTATTCGAATAAACATAAGTTTCAATATCTAGGTTTTTCTTTTTTGGTTGGATCTTCCTCAGACAAATTATATTTCAATTGAGTATACTTTCAAACTGTACAGTTTATTAGATTCAACCAAGCGTCAATCAAAATTACATATAACTTGATATAAATATATAATATTAGTTCTTTGTTCTCATCTTTTTGGACTATTTTTGCTTATAAACGTTCTAAAAACTGTACAATTTTGCTTGAATGTCAATTTTATCTGAGATCTATAGCCATTCTGAGCATCGAGAATAATTCGTGGCTGTGAATGTGGTGTGTTCGTGCACGGATCTTTTCTTCACCCACACCTCGAATTCTGTTGGTGACATAAATGCTTCATCACAATAGAAAATATAGGAATAATGTTGAATATAACTGACTCGAAGTAGATAAATTAAATTGTATATCATAGGAACTGGATCGTTTATAGCTATCTTCGACGATTGAAACACTCGTCCAGGATACTAATTTCTATAAACTTGTTTTTTTTTATATCAATACATGAAATCTCTCAATGGTCAAATATATCTATTTGAGT